GGAGAAAACAGACAGCGAAAGAGCGGGTCGTGCCTTCAACCGCGTCCCGTGCCTCGTAAATGGAAGGAGGCCGCGACCTTAGAGTGGCAGCCGCCGCCCCTGACCTCTCTTCCTGACGCAGCGGCGGCGTGGAGGGGCCTTTACACCCTTACCTCGATTCGCCGTCGCTCAGTCTCCTCTCTCTCTCGAACGCCCTTTTAAACACTCCCGATTCCCAACTCTCCCGACGCCCTTGCTCTTTAATTTAGCCGTCTGCCTCCCATAATGTAATCTATGTACGTAGTTTTGTATATAAATAAGCATACGGTTGGAGGGGGGGGGGGTTAAAGTGAATCGAAAAGTTTATTATAATATATTCATAAAAGTAACCCTAGTAAACGGACCCAGAGCGTGGGAATAGCGACAGGCGGAATTTTGGGAGAGAGGACGGAAGAGTGAGGGGGAGAGAGGAGGAGGAGAGAGAGAGAGAGAGAGAGAGAGAGAGAGAGAGAGAGAGAGAGAGAGAGAGAGAGAGAGAGAGAGAGAGAGAGAGAGAGAGAGAGAGAGCTGCCTGAGCGAAGGAAGAGAGGAGATGGGGTCCTGAGGGAAGCGTGGGGGAGGGGGGAGGGAAGGATAAGGACAGGGGAGAAGGGAGAGAAGAGGAGGAGAAGGGAAGAGGCCGTGAAGGGGAGAGGGGGAGAGGAGCACAAGTATGATTAAATGGAACGGCGCCTCGGAGGGTGGGGGTATATTTTCGCCGATTCCGAGTGTGGCATTGTGAAGATTAATGCCTCTTGTATCGCCCGACGCGGGGAACACAGAGAGAATGAAGCGAGGAGGGGGGGGAGGCTTTCGGCCTAGCTCATACTAACGCGCTGATAAACTTTGTTAAGTTCTCAGACAAACAGAAGGAATTAATTTCGCTGTGTGGGGGGGGGGAGCGTGCATGTATATATATATATGTACTTATACATAGATGCATGTATGCATATACATATATACATATATACATATATGCACGTCACTTGCTGCCTCACAAACACAATCTGTTTACGAAGCGCCGCGTCTGTTCCTGCGGAAAATGTTTAACGAGGCCGTGTCAATGGGAGAGAATGGTCACAATCGGCCCCAGGCCCCGCGGCCCTTCTAGCGCCTGTAGGTGGGAGTCCCTTATTGTTACCATCGGGAGCCTGGGGGAAGTAGGGAGGCCACGGGGACAGGGGAGCGGTTCCCCGCGAGGAAAGGAAGGTCGGATGGGGAGGAGGGGGGGTGGGGGTTAAGGGAGGGGTGACGACGCAAGTTTTCCCATCAACCCACCGACAAACTTTTCAGGTAGTCTATTTAACTTCTTTTATTGTCGGCGTCCCAGTACTTTTTATATGTATGTATTCTAAACACGGCCGTACCTCCACTCTCCCCCAACCCCCAACCGCTCGTACGGTACGACAGCCTCCCTACTTCTACCCCCTCCTGCCCCCTCCCCGCAGTCCTCACGCACAGCACGCATTCGTTATTCTCCAAAAAATAATCGTACCGAGCACATCGCGTCCCGTTGTAAAGAAAGAGGAAAAATCCTTCCAAAATCTGTGCGCGTTTGGAGTAAGCATCAGACGGTTGCATGATGTTATGAATCATTCCGAGCTCAGTAATCCATGCGGTTTAGTGCAACGATGCAACGGTCCCCCCTTCCGTCATCCCGCCCGCGCCAAGTTTCATGATTCATAAAAGATGAAAGGAACGAATAAAATATGAGCATAAAGAACAAACCGGCGCTTCGTTCGGGAGACAAATGACCGTGTGAGCGCGCGCTTCATTGTTGCCAACGTAAATGGCTCGCCGGAGTTGCCCGCCTTTTTCCTCCTTTGGGAGAATCAGATAGATCGCTTTGTGTCAAAAAGAATGAACAGCATATCAGTGGGGAAAACCCTTATGAATCCAACTAATCAATCAACCGTAATAGGACAGCGATCATCCACACCACAGCGACCCCTCCGCTGATCAGGCACGAAAGCAAATAAATAGGTCGTTCTGCCCCTCCCTCCCCCTCTCCCCTCCCCCTTTCCCCTCGCCCGTCCCAGCCACAGCCTCGCCCTCTGCAGTTCAATCGTTACCGGGTCAATTGCTGATATGTATCTCATGGCTCTTAACCGGCGTGCCACGCGTGCTATGGCACCTCTCCATCTCCCTTTTCCTCCGGCCGGCCATACCTCGCTCCCATCGCCTCACTGAAAATAGTCTCTGGCCAAATTAACCATTTATTTTGTTTCGAGTGACAATGAAAAGCATTTATCGAGCATTTACATGAATATTCTCGAGATTATCTGCGAAACCAGGTCCGTTATTTCAATCAACGATTCCCGATGTTTATAATTGGTTGTAGTCACCTAGCAGGCGGGCGTTGTGCGGGCAGCGCTGGCTGCAAACATGTGGCGATCGACCGCAAGTCCAGCACGCTGCTCGCCAAGCTGTTCACCGACCACACAGCACCACTCTCTCGCCGCAACAGCACCTCGTCAAAATACTTTTAAAAATCCACGCCGCGAGGACCAACTGCTACGGCCTTATGGGGATAGAGGATAGGAGGGGTGAGGGGAGGGAAGGCCGGGATCTACCCTGCGTTCTTCACACGGCGGCATCACCAATATCTAATCTGGGCTCGGCGAGGCAGCGCGGTCCTCCTGGATACATTTCAAGCTCCATAAACCACTCGGAACAGCCCATAAAGCAACATGAGTTTGAGATGCTTGCCTGGGGAGGGGAGGAGGGAAGGGGGGGAAGAGAGGAAGGTGTGGGTGGGGAGGGCGCAGCCTTTCTTATCACCCCCCTCCCTTCCTATCCTCCCGTTCATAAAGCTTGACAAACTGGACTTAGGCAACTGGGGAGAGACAACTTCCACACCCACAATCACCTCCTTCACCCGCGCTAGGCCAAGGGGGGTCCGGGAGGAGGGGGAAGGGGGGGAGGGAGGCACGGGCTGGGACGGAGGGGGAGTACGAGTTACACATACATACTGTCGTTTATGAATCAACCGCAGGACTCGCCCACGTCAACAGAAAACGTTACTCATCAACAGCAATAACTCTTTTGTGGTGCGCGTTCCCGACCGTGCTAATGATGGATGACGTTTTCACTTTCAATGTTGCTGTCAAAACGTTTTTTCATACTTAATTCTCTTGGCGCGGTGCATAATGAGATGGCCCTCCGTTAAAGACTAAGGTTCTTACTTTTTGGAAAGCCGTCACCAAAAAAACAACATTAATTCTTTAATCATCGTAACATAAAAGAAGATGGCGTGTTAATCACGACTGACTGCGCAAGGAAGGCGGGGTCATGAACACGCAAGTCATGACAATAAACACTTGGAAGTAAATGATCCCTTACTTATCTGCACTGAATTTTGCGTAGCTTTGGCCTAAAAAAAATGGTCGAAATAGCTATCACACTGAATGAAATCACAATCAATACCTACAACATGAAGACATTACACACGACAGACTTACAATTTCGCTAGCGCCTCAAGCTCCCCCCACCCCCACCCCTCTCCCTAGCCTCCGGTCGTCATGCTCATTATCCTTAAACTTTTCGACCACGCCCAAGGCCTAAAATAAAATCAGAAGAGAGAAAAAAAAAATATGGATTGCGGCCGTGGATACATGGTCCCGCCCCCACCCACGGCGACACTGAGGAATTGTTGGCTCGGTTATGCCTCAAGCTCCCGTGGTGAGAACGAGGCCAAATAGCTTTATCCCACTATATTCTCATGAAGCCAGGACGGTAATGTATGTACTACTTACTACTTCTACTGCTCATATATTCAACAAAAAAACTGACAACATAAAAAGGCCTTCCAGTTTTGAGAGTTGTGCAGGGAAAATAGTCAGAAAAACATAGTTGGGAACTCGACTGGGACGGCTGCCAAGTGACCAATTTTCTACCTCTCTTTCTTAACTTGCACTGTGCTTTACGTCTGGACAGAATATATACCCGGCACTAAACTACTACTGCGTAATAACATTTGAAGTATAAAGCTTCTGAGAAAGAATAATGATCAAATGATAAAATCCTTCGTCTGATATGTCTTCACCAAATATTTTTCTTTACCTTGCCAACTCGCACGAACGCCTGACAGGTGGCGGAGTCACTTTGTTTCTTTGCTTTTCATTTTCTTTCGTCAACATAGAATCTGACACATTTCCCGCGATTAAACAAATAAAAAAATAATCTTTCACTTCTACATCGCCAATGAAAATAGAATTAGGCTGCAACAGGATGACAAATGGCAAATTTTGAATGTCAACAGCATTTGATGTACATTTCTTGTATTCACAAGACAAGATTTTTTTTTTTTATTAACGAACACTTTCTATTTACTATTTTTGAAAGATACTTTAAACGTTGGCGGTTGTACGTTTTTTTCTTGATCACATAACGAACACTAGTCCAGACATTGGTAAGTAATGTAACACAGCCAGTTTCACCAACAATGCAACTCTGAATGAAAACGTGCAGACGAACGAAAAAGTACGGTAAAAGGCTAAATAATTTGCATGCGTACTATCCATGCATGCACACCTGTTGAAGCTATGGAAGGCTGATTTCCCTTGTGCATTATGTGAGTTCAAAGTTCTTTTTCATTTTGCACACTTTCACGTCACTATTTTCTCAACACTGTCGCGACTAAGACATGTAAAATATTCCAGAGGAACTTTAATAATGAATGCCAAATATGTGGAATATACATACTAGTGATAATAATAAACTGAAACACTACACACACTTATAACATGCAAATGACCACTTGTTATACATTAATTCACTTTTTTTAAATTTCACTCATAAATATCTTCATTTCAAGACTTTATCGAAAAACACATGAACATTTAAATTAACTTTCTCTATATTACTACACTGAACACTAATTTATCACACTTTGAACAATTGATGAAATAATTGACTTAGCGTTTTTTCTGTGGGATGTAGTGAAACGTGGCGCGAAAACACCGTAGACTTTGAATTCTTACCTGCCACAAAATCGTCTGTGAGGTCGACGGGCGTGCAGAATCCTGAGTCGACGAGGCCGCGGGTACGATCAGACGCCCACTCGCCGCCCGCAGTCTCGGCGCCCACGGAACAGCCGGAGTCCCTGGAGAGACCCACGGTATGGAGGAGCGAGGACGTGGAGACAGCGGGGGCCTGCTGCAATGTTTGTTGCTGCTGCTGTTGCTGTTGTTGCTGCTGGACGGGCTGGAGGGAGCGAGGGGTGAGAGCGTGAGCCCTCGCCAGGTCCAAGGAGGTGGTGAGGGAGGCGCCCATGCCCATGTGCTGGTGAGCCATGGGAGGGGCGGGCGCCGCGGCAAGAGCACCCATAGAGGTAGATAATGCTCGTGGGCGTGGGTGGACATGTACAGCACCGCCTGTCACCCTGGCTGGCCGCCCACTTCCTAAGTAATCCGGGAGATTGACACTGCTGGCGACAGACAAACCACGACGGGTTCGAGCCGCTCGCAACTTGGGTGAACCGCCTGCAGTCCCACGTGTGGGCGTGCGGGCAAGGAGTGAGGGCGGCAGACCCGGAGCCACAAACTCTGCCTGAGGAGGAGCCATGGCAGCTGCTCGAGGGTTGCAGCAGGGCCCTAAGCACCGTCCACCACTTCCCCACACCAGTTGTTGCTGCTGTTGCTGTTGTTGCTGCTGGACGGGCTGGAGGGAGCGAGGGGTGAGAGCGTGAGCCCTCGCCAGGTCCAAGGAGGTGGTGAGGGAGGCGCCCATGCCCATGTGCTGGTGAGCCATGGGAGGGGCGGGCGCCGCGGCAAGAGCACCCATAGAGGTAGATAATGCTCGTGGGCGTGGGTGGACATGTACAGCACCGCCTGTCACCCTGGCTGGCCGCCCACTTCCTAAGTAATCCGGGAGATTGACACTGCTGGCGACAGACAAACCACGACGGGTTCGAGCCGCTCGCAACTTGGGTGAACCGCCTGCAGTCCCACGTGTGGGCGTGCGGGCAAGGAGTGAGGGCGGCAGACCCGGAGCCACGAACTCTGCCTGAGGAGGAGCCATGGCAGCTGCTCGAGGGTTGCAGCAGGGCCCTAAGCACCGTCCACCACTTCCCCACACCAGTTGTTGCTGCTGTTGCTGCTGCTGAAGCAACGCTGCACTACTTCTGCTGGTAGTGTTGGTCATGGTGCTGGCGCTGCTGCTAACGCCCATCATACTAGCATCGCGGACATTCTGTACACTTCTTGCACTTTGGCTCTGCACACTTCCTATATTTTGGTTCTGCACACTTCTTGCACTCTGGCTCTGTACACTTCTTGAAGCACTTTGGCTATGCACACTTTGTACGTTTCTAACACTCTGTGCATTGACTGATTTGACACTAGAAGAATTACAGTTGGGATTTCCACACATGCACCAGGTTCGCTGCTGTGTGCTGCGGGACGCCCTCGCCCCGGCCACTTGCTGGTGCTGCTGTGGGTTAGGCAGCTGCAAGGGGGCCAGAGGGCGGGCTGCCCCTGACGTGGCCACCATGGCAGTGGGCGAAGGAGTCACGACGGCTCTGGACCTAGCCCGTACAGCTGATACATATCCAGGGTGTATCATGAGAATAGGCTCCGAGCCCTTCGGCGGATAGATGTGTGCGGGCAGGTCATACTCCACGGAGGTTTCCACTTGTAACGGTGAAAAATAATCCTTCTGGGGGTCAATAAGCGGCTTTCGTGAGGGCGAAGCATGTGGGGTCATGCTAGGATACGACCCACGACATACACTCGACACCATCTTGCCTCTCGCCACCACTACCAACACTTCATATAACACCACAGACACCACATGGGAGATCACTCAGCGATTCAAGAAACGTGCTCCCGCTCTGACGTGCTAACCCTGACTGATCCCAGCAGATGGCCCGCTACAGAAGATGGGTGCGTGCTCACTAAACCTCACGATCTCCGCGCACCTTCTCTTTTTATTGATTACTTGATATTATGTTTTATTCCTTGTTTGAGTTTTGTTAGCAGATATTACGACGAACTAATATATCCAAAAGTTCAGATTGTTGCAAACGATTTTACATATTTTTCAGAGTACGTGAGAATCAGCACCAGTCTGTGACAAAGGAAGCGTAGCAGCTGGGACTGGCTGGGCATGCGGGCGGTCATTGGGGCATAAAGATCACAAAGAAATCACCAGCCACCCTCCCACAAAGAAAATATCCTTAGTTTGGAACCCGACACGTCGGTGCATTCCGTCGGGGATGGTGTGGATTTGCCCTTTGCTGTTTGAACACTTCTTAGAATATATTCCGGTACATTGAGCGAAAGCCCTTCTAAAGAGCGGCCTCCTGCTCTCTAATCCGCCTAACGGCTTTATATTTATGTTGTAATACATTGACGGTCATGACTGCCGCGAGCGATTGATTAGCGTTGCCGATGCACACGACCGAGGTAAATTAAAGGAAATTCCATTCGAAGTTCGACAACTCTTGTAAAATAAACATGTTGGTACTCGATCTCGCACTTCCGGAGGCTCCAAGAGATGTCTCGACTGTCAGTCTCCCTCCTCTTTAGGCCCGTGGACGGCTTCAGTAATCAGCCAGTACGCCAGGAAGAGGAAACGGCGGACAGTACTTAGTTCACCCGCAGGTTAAAGTAATTACATTGAATGTACAAAGGGGGGATAATGTAGCGATTCCTGTCGGGCTGTAGGCGGTCTGATGTGAAAGTATCTGCCAAGCCACGTGGTCGAAGAATACAATTCTTTTCATGCATATTTCACTTTCAAATAAAAGCCACGAAATCAATTTCCCAACCCATTCCGAAATCCCGAAGTAGCTCGCATCATCGAGGAGCTGAGTATTCAAAACGCAGCCTAATCCAATGTCTTGTCAATACAGATGGCGCGGCGATAAAACGTTTGCCAAGCTCGAACGAAAAGCATTCCCCATCTCGAGTGATTTATGTCGGCAATGAAAATTTAATCCAGCATCGATTCGTGACCACACACGCTCGAAGCTGAATGTGTCTGTGGGGACCTGGGAGGAGGAGGGGGGGAGGGTGGCCATGTGAGCGCTCAACAAAACGCGAAACTTAGCTGATATTACCTTTAATAATTAATCGGGGGACAGACGCAAAGTTACTGTGGTTCCTGTTCACCGCTGAAACTGTTCAACTTCTCCGTATTAATGTGTCCATTCTACCTTTCTCAGATTCCCCTCCTTCACACACGAATATGATAAACTGAAGTATATATTTTTAATTGACAGCCATTCGCACTGAAAGACCTTTTCAGGCCAGGAATCCACTGCCAAAGATTAGCTCAAAAGAAGACAAATAAAGAAAAGAAGTACGGAAAAGGGAATGATCCAGAAACAGAACGTCTGCTTCTCTCTCTCTCTCTCTCTCTCTCTCTCTCTCTCTCTCTCTCTCTCTCTCTCTCTCTCTCTCTCTCTCTCTCTCTCTCTCTCTCTCTCTCTCTCCCTTTCAACGCTCTGGGTTTAATTTCAAGAGCGAAAACGTCAGTGCAAGTAAAACGTTTGTCTTATGAATGCACTCCCTTGTGAACGAACGTATTCTTTGTTGTTCATTGTTCGTTTTGAGATTGCTGTCCTAAAGCTATCAGACGGATCAATTTCTATAACAATGGACAATGAGAACGGTGATATAACTATAAAGTACATTTTATGATATATCCGCATATCTTATCGATTAATAGCATGGATACTACGAATAATGATATAGCTATAAATACCAAAACGTAAAATAATTCAACGAAATAAAGTAAATTCTATTCCAAAATCAAGACTTTCCAGAAATGTCGTACAAACCGGAATATTATAACGAGAACAGACCTAGAAATGTGTTCATAAATCTCTAGTTGACAACACCGAGCAGTAGCCACACCAAGGGCAAAAACTAATTCGAGATTAGATTAAGAAAGTTTCTTCCTACTGATCGCACATTAGGGTATCTAGCTATAAGTTACAGTAAGTGAGCTTCTCTGAATATATGATTATGTGTAAGAGAGTATTAATCTTTTCAGGTTTTAAGTCTTGGCGAATTACAAGCACGGAAAACCCGACCGTTAGGAAACGTAAGGAACTTGGAAAACCTTTTGGTTTGTGGCTTGCCTGGTGATTTCTGTAATACGCTCGGATGCCGCGTGAGTTAGGGCGATATTAAGCAAGACAGCTTTGCAATAATTAGATCAGTGATTCAACAGATTTGTCTTTGATTTTATTAGAGTGAAGCTGATGACGGCACGCAGGGTGTCGGGTGCGAGGGGAGTGGGGAGGGGCGGGGGGAGGGGGGGGGTTGGCGTGAGAAGCCCCACCATCTACACAACGTTAGGCTCTTCGCTGTTGCCACCTTTTCCCGCTGTCAGTATTTATTAAATTGGTTCGTTCTTTTTCGTTACCCAACGTGATTAAATTCCCTCGACTTCTATTCTCTAGTTATTCTTATCTCGGCGTGTAAAGAGCCGACTTTCTCGAACAATTATCATTCGCAGATGAAAAATCTTTAGACCCACTAAAAAAAAAAAAAGTATAGGGTCGAGCGACACAAGGGTGCTCCGGACCCAACCGCGGGATCGCCGAGGGTCCCCCAAGGCCCGCCCATTAAATCGCCAATTGGGTGTTATCGGTAAAGAGCGATTGTCGTTCTACTCCTCACCCCTCCCCCCTTCCCCACCGCCTGTCTCTCCTCACCTCCCCCTCCCCTACCCCACCGCCTGTCTTCCCTCTCCTCCCCCTCCCTCCCCCCACCCCCCTACCCCACTCGGCACAACACGTACCGCCCACTCCTCTCTCTTAATAACTGGCTTTATCAGCCGCACCGTTTTAATCCAAGCGTTAGCCGATTTATACTTGTAGATCGAAATCTTGTTTGGGGAGCTGATTTGTAATTGCTAAAAAGTGCGTAAGAGGATTTAGAAACTTTGATTTTGAATTGAATGTGTTTTCTTTATGAGTGATGGGAGAAACTTTTGAATCTGGACTGAATGGGGTTTATTCATAATTGATGGAGAAACTTTGATTTCGAATGAATGGCGTTTATATATAATCAGGATTGACAAAATAATATTTTTCTCCGCTGTAATCACAAACTGACAAATTATACAAAATCTGCCAAGTTTTGTTTTGCATTGCTTCCTTGCATTCTCTGTATAAGTGTTGCGTCCATGATGTTCATTTTAATTCCGACAGCTAATTATATTGCGGGGTTTTCATTTAAATTAGACACGAACAGTCTATGCAACATTTGTATCTCCGTTCTTTCTTCATCTACCATCTGTCTCTCTCTCTCTCTCTCTCTCTCTCTCTCTCTCTCTCTCTCTCTCTCTCTCTCTCTCTCTCTCTCTCTCTCTCTCTCTCTCTCTCTCTCCGCCTTTCCTTTTATCCTAACGTGGCTTTCATGTCATTCATAATCTTCCCTTCTTGCCCGGACACCAGCTTCCTCTCCTCCCATCCTCTTCCCACCCGGCCACTCTCCACCCCCCCTACTTGTCCTTCATTACTCCCCCATTGTCTCCCTCTTCGTCACCCCGCATCCTTCTCGCGGTCTTCTCCCTCCTATCCTCTTTCTCTCCCCTCTTTCCTCCACCCTTCTATGCCGTTTCCCTTTCCTCCCCTCAACCCTCACCCCCCTCTCTTCCTCCCTCCATCCGCCGGTCCTTGAGTCTCTCAGTCCCTACTTCTGTTGTTGATAACGTCCGTCGTCTTTTTTCTCCCTCCTCCATTATATTTGTTCTGAATAATTGTAGCTCCAATGGCCTCGCGCCCTCTAGGTTCCCCATGACCCGAAATGAAGAAAACATTCCGACATTATCATACCCCTTATTAGCATAAACCCTCCCCATGTATGAATACAGTTAACAGGTAACTTCTAAGACGCCCTTCCTGTCGCGGGTGCTATCGGTCAGACCTTTAGCCCGGGCTTAGGGTCCCTGCTGAGGACAATTGCTTGGGGGATATAACCGATGACCATTACTGTACACAGCGTAGCACTGTGGAAGTTCAGATCGATGAATAATACAGCCAAACTGTCTGTGTAATGATGGAGGGATACTTTACACTGGAAACCTGATAGAATATTGCGTGTGTGGCCCTAATGTCGGGTGTAGGGGAAGTACTTCTTTTTTTTCTTCCTTTCTTTTTTTTCTTTTACGACCGTCTGATTAGTCCGTCTGTGTAAAATCTGGAACCTTAGGAAAAATCCTCGGTTAAATTTTTGGGGGAGCAGGAAGGCTGTCAAAGTGTAGCTGGTGGGATGTACAAATAAACAAATAGTGGGCGTGTGTGTTTGGGAAGGTGCGGCCGATGGGGAGAGCCTGCTGAAGGAGAGGGAGAGGAGAGAGGGCTGTTAAAGGAGGTGTTTGGAGGAAGGCAAGGGCTGTTTAGGGGAATGCATAAAAGGGAGAGAAAGGAAAGGCCTAATAAATGGAGAACAGGGAATTCCGATGAAGATTTGGATGTTGCGGTAGAAGAAAGAGAGAGAGAGAGAGAGAGAGAGAGAGAGAGAGAGAGAGAGAGAGAGAGAGAGAGAAAGAGAGAGAGAGAAGCAGACAGATGGACAAAGCGAGAGACAAAGAGGGACGGAAAGAGAGAATGATAGTAAAGACACAGAAAATCGAGCAATAACAAAGAGTCTTTAAATATAAGAAGAACAAGAGAAATGAAAGATAAGAGATTATCTGAAAGAGAGAGAGAGAGAGAGAGTCGTGAACTGACAGCTTCTTAAATATAGTGAAGTAAAACAGAAGAAAACAGAGAACGGGGGAGCGGACGACAGAGCCAGAAGCAGTCACTGTGAAAGGAAAGCGAGCGGATGCAGTGGTAAGGCTGATGAGCTTTGTTTCATCAGATTAGTGTCTGACGAAGAGT